TGCCCCCCCACCGCTGATTTTTTTTTTTTTTTTTTGCTTAAATTTTATCTTGGGGGTAGAAATTGAAATCTCGCGCGATGCTAGTAGTGATGGAGGCGGCAAATAGGCTTGGAAGGGGATGATGAAGAAAGGTTGAGAGAATGGGCGATGCCAAGAGTCGTCATACTGACCACGAACAACGAAGCCATTTGCAAACACACAGCCTTGCCCGGTACCTACTAGCTCGTACCCACTAGGGTACCTGGCTACTAGATGCATGCCCCACCACGCTTTATTCTTGCAGCCAGGATAGCACGCGAATCACACGTCAGATAACATTGGTGACAGTACTGGGGGTTGTCTTTTTTTTATATTCGCTATTGGCAGCAGATGACCTAGTAGATGATTATGCCCATATCAGTCAGAATTCATGTGTAACCACTGCGCGGCTCTGAACCGTCGCCCTGCGGCTCCGTGCAAATGGCGCCTTGAAAGAACGCATCTCTGGCCCTCCTTGGTCTGCTAACATCTCTCTCAAAATAAGCATGGGTCTATGTCTCAGGTGTTGCTGCGAAATGGGTTCCTGTTCCAAATATACATGCGGACAGGGCCCAGCCAAATTCACGCTTCGGGCCACGACCGAGTGACGTCCCTGGTGCCTGCCCCCTTAACGTCAACATTAGACGAACACTGCAAGCCTCCCAATCTGTTGAATTTGGTAGTTCTTTTTTGGCCCCTTTATCTACAGTTGTCACATGAGGGCGCCACGACCATGCTTGCGACGATGCCGCAATCAGATGCCACGCAGCATGGCAGTTTTAGTGATTGTATCGCGAGGAACCAGTGTGGAACGACGGTACAGCGCAAGGTGCCTGTCGTCGTCGCAAATGGTGAAACGATACGCCTGGAGGCAAGCCCTCGGCCAATTCACAGCCCCATTGGCCAGCCCGAGGCAGGATCACTGAATGCAATTCTTCGGGAACACAGTGTGAAGCGACTGTACGTGCCCACCATCGCGTGGACCGGAGACCAGGTTCGGCTGCTGAACATGGCATTCGAGAAGGTAGACGTGCCAATACGAAAGCCACAGCAAGGCCTACAACAAGGCTTAGGTTACAAGCCTGGCGGAGAGCAACTGGAAAAAGACGAGTGCCGCTGGCCGAGCGCGGATGCAATAGCGGCTACAAGAGGGCTGCTGGAAGAGGGTGCGGAGAGGCCAGAAATTGGCCATGAAGGCTCTTCTTGCCGAGTTTGGCCTTGTACCGTCTCGGTAAGTTCGCGCGAGGTAGAAGTGTAGATGGATGCAGAACGGTGCAAGTTGCAGGGCTACTCGACAGGCGCTGATGAGAAAGGACGCAGTGGTATCAGCGCAAATGGATTTCGGTCTCGAAACGTCAGTGGTCTTAAAGCCGGCAAGGTCGAGTTCCAGTTTGGTGACAAGACTGTGAACCAGTTACGGCCGGATGGCATCTTCGAGACGAACTCGGGGGGACCACAGCTCGTTGCGTACGCCAATTTCGAAACAATATCGACTTTTCGGAAAAGGCACAGCCGGGGGAGAGCCAGGAAGCTGCTAATGATTCAGCCAGCCGAGGCGTGCGAAGACCTGTACATCATCGGCATACTGATTGGGCTAGCACAGCTTCAGCGACGACGGTCGGGTAGCCGGGAGGGGTGTGAAGCTGAAGGCGGACAGAGGGCAACGCTGATGGGGATTCCTACGAGAGAGGCCAAGTGGCTTTACGTCTACACGACGAGGATACCAGACAAGTTCCTTGCCAAGCTGGAGAGGCCGTCGCAGCGGAGCGACTGCGATAGGGTAGTCGTCAGATATGAGTCGATTAGTTTAATAGAGCCGCAAAGGGCGGTACGCCGGATGTGGCTGGCGCTGCGTAGAAACTTGCCAATGCTGGAACAACCCCGAGGTTGAATCGGATGATGAATGGGGGATAAACAGATGGATGGATTAGATAGTTTGGGTGGCCGCCAGATTTTCGATCTAGGGTCAACCGAGTAACCTCCCTCAGATTTTAGAGACCCCGACAGCCCGACGTGAAGGTAAGAGAAGATGCACGTTAAACCCGTCCAGTCTGAGACGATTGTCCTGGCGTGCTTGTCTTGCCGTGGCCGCATACTGACTATCATGGACGGATTTTGTATAATTCATCAGTATCCATCGTTAGGCACTCCGACTCCCGTCAGGATACATAGACTCAACCCAACCATTGAACTCCCTCCACACCCAGGCCCGGAACTGCCTGTCTTTTTCCTCATTCCCGCGCTCGTCCTCATCCGCCGTTCCCAGCAGCTCATGATGCCGCAGTTCGTCCAATTGGCTCTGTCTGCTCACCCCGTGCTGCTGCTCCTTGAGGCCCTCGAACAATCTCCGGTACAGATACTCGCGCTCACTGTCCGTCACGCTGACACACTCAAACGCCTGTGAAACCCGACAAACCACGCCCAGCTCAGAGTGCAGCAGCAACATCTCGTCCCGGGAAGCCGTCGCCGCGGCCGCAAAGATCCTGGGCACCTCGCCGGCACCACGACCGGCCGCTGACAACGACGACGTTGACTCCCCGGTTGATTCCTCGCTGTGGACTTGCTCGCTATGCAGCACACACCAGGCCGCCAGACCCGCGTTGTTGGTGCGACACCCGCATGAAAGTCGTGTGGACGTAGCTTCGGCTGCGGCGGGGGATGATCGGGCGGGCGTGTATTTCTCGTCGACGCGTCTATCCTTCCACAGCTGCGTGTGTACAATGGGCACAGTTTTCCAAGACATGGCGAGTGACGTGATTTTATCGACTGGTGCTTGATACTGTGCTCCGTACGGGAAGGTGGGCCATGACATGTTGTATCGCGGGGACCCCAGATTCAAAGACGGGAGCAGTTTCGTTTTTTTTTTTTTTTTTTATATTTTGGGGGGTCCCCCC